CATAAAAATATAAAAAAATATAAATATTTAATTCATTTTACTAAATATAAAAGATTAATGTTAAGGAAGAATCCGACAAACAATCGGAACAAAAGTTAGTCCAATGTCATGATTTCGTATTTTAAAAGAAAAGGTCTTAAATTTTAAATTCCTTTCGGTAGAAGCGTAAGGAATTTAATTTTCTACATTTTGAATAATTTAAAGTTATATTTGAATACAAATTACACTTTTTTGTCAATAATAAATGATTTAAGTAACATAAGCAAAAATTTAACAAATGTTCCTTATTGACAGAAAATTGTAATTTTTATTCAAATGCAACTTTCAATCGTTTTGAATGTTCAAAATTAAATTCTTCGTCTTTCCACCAAAACAATATAAATTTTGTCCTTTTCTTTTAAATTACGAAATTATGACATTGGACTAACTTTTGTTTCGACTGTACATCAGATTCTATCCATAATATAAAAATACTATTAAATAAAAAAAATTATCAATAATTATATTTTAATAAAGATGTGAGTTAATATTGTTATTCAGTGAACTTAAAGTACTTTCGCCATTCATATTCTCTTTTTTTTAAAACTTATTTTTCATCATCAATAGCATCAATTTTTACCACGTTGAAATCCACAACGTTTATCAACGAAAAAAATTGTTTACTTAGTAAATTAATAAAATATATCGCAACAATATTGACACAAAAATATTTAGAAAAAATAGATTGATGTTTATGTTCTGATAATAATTGTTATACAATTAAATATTAAATTAAAAATAATATTCGAATAGAGGAAACAAATTTTTTTCGTTGATCAACGTTGTGGACTTCAACTTCGTCAATTTTTATCTATCTTCAATATTAATCATAAAAAATATTGTTTTTAATATATAATGGTAACGTAATAAAGTAGTTCATTTAGTTTATGACACATTCGTTAAGGGTAAGAGTTCATAACATTTCTAAGGAAGCGATAACTTTTAGTGTTACAATTATCTAATAATTGGCAAATGACGTGGTTGTTGCCAGTCGCGTATACATAATATACATCCGTTAATCAAGTGAAATTTTAAACTGATTAAACTTATAAAAAATAATATTTTGTTTTTAATTATATATTATTTTTTATATATAACATATTATTTTATATATATTGTATATTATATAATCGTTTACTGTATGATATTATATACAAAATAATAATAAGGGAAAGTGGGGTAAAACGATCATACTAAGGATTTTTTCTTATTCCACTTTCAATTACTTTACAAAAAACGATTCTTATTAAATGTTTTTAAATTTTCGAGAAAGAGTTCTTTTATAGACAAGCTTTATATTTGGTAAAAATTTCAGAACTCTTTACCATGGCGAAAATTAAGATAATTATTTAATTTTCAAATTATAATTTCCATTACGTCAAATTTTGAAAATTTAATAATAATTAATCTCAATAATGTTAAATTTTTTCTCAATTTTGATACAATAAATATTTTCTACAAAATTTTTGCCATACGAAAAAAGTGTAACCGCGGTTCTTTGATTGGGATCTTTAATTAACGCAGAAGAGTAAAAACAATTAAAAACATTATAAATGAAAAACATGGAAAGCGTGGAAACGAAAACTTCTAATTTCAAAATCGATGTCAATTAGAAAAGTTCTTTGAAAAAAAAAACTAAAGTTCTTTAATACTATTATAGTTTGAATATATAGATAGTAAATCTGCAACGATATATATGAAGTGTACGTAAATTGCAAATTTACGAATTCATCATTGCAAGTCTTGTTATTGAAAGTGACGCTTGATTACGTCGAACGTTTCACGCGAGGTATTCAAAGGATATATGAAAGAATTATCACGATTTATTATCGAAATTCGCAATAATTGTCTACGAAATCGAATTAGCATGGATATGGAACAAGGTCTATTTTCACACCTACATTTTAATATGTATATATATAATGTTCTATATTTAAAGCTTATATTTATTTCCATAAATAATTTATAATAATTATTAATTAATAATAATAATTGTAATAATTATTATTAATAGTAATTATTATTTATATAAAATAAAAAATATAATATTAATAACAATAATATTGAGACAAAATGTATCATCTCCTCTTAATATTATTACACTGTAAAAAATTTAGGGAGTTAACGGACTCGAGAGTTGGGAGTGAAATTTTTCGTGTTAAAAATCAACTCCAAAAGAGAGTTGATTTCTAACTCCCTTCATTCAACACCCGCGCGAGTTATTTTTTCCTTGGGGAGTTAGCATTTGGGTGTTAAATTTTAACTCTCTTTATTTAACTCCCCTGGCATTAACTCCCCAATGGGTGCGACTTTTATAGACCCCCCGGGGGAGTTAAAATTTAACTCCCTTTTTTTACAGTGTATTTTTATTATTAGCCCGCAGAAAATTGGGCTATACGCGGATTAAAATAACCTTCAGCGGTCTAATATTTTACTTTCAAAGATACTAGAAACAGGATTTCAATTTTAATTTTTTATTAATTTTAATTTACAGGGTTGCCACAAAAATTTAATTTTTCTCAATCCCTGACTTTTCCCTGGTTTCCAGACAAATTTTTGACTTTTTCCCTGACCCTAAACAATATTCTGATTCACTCTAAAAATTATTAGATACTCTAAAAAATTTTCTATTATATTTATTTACGATTTTTTTTTGTATTTTTAAATAAATATTTAATCATTATTATTTTTCCATAGGAATCAAAATTAATTCCATCATTTCAAATAATTTATTATTTTCTAGAATTATTAACTAAAATTCTTTTTTAAATCCATTATTTATAATAATTTTTTTAAAAGTTCTTTGAGAGTTCAAGAATGTTCAAAAAATAATTTCTACATAAATTTACTATTGAATGAACGTAAAACTAACTAATAATAAATATATTAAAAAATAAAAACTTCAAAGAATTTAAAAAAAATTCAATTAATTAAACTTTTTCAAAAAAATTAATTCTATAAAATTCTTAGTTAAAAGTATGAAAAATTCAGATTTTCAAAGATTTTAATTTTAAACATAATCAAAATTCTATTATTTTTAAAAATTACAAAAAATTCTACCAGAAATTCATTTTTAAATAAATTTTTATTAGAAAATTCTACGAGAATTTTATTATTTAAGGGCATTTGAACCTTGACGACGTCACACATGCTTTGCACAAAGTGTAACGTCATCAAGGTTCAAATGCCCTTAAATACAAAAATAAATAATTTATTGAATAATTGAATGTTTCTTAAAATTAAATTCTTATACACAATTTTTTCAAAAAATTTTTAAGTAATTGAATTCTTTGGACGAATTTAAATAAAATTTTTAATAATTACATTTTTTGAGGAATTCGATTAAAATTGTGTTAAAAATAATTGAAATTCTGCAATGAGTTTTATATTATTTATGAAAATAATTGAATTATTGCGAAGAATTTTATAAAAAAAAGTTTCAAACAATTGACTTTTTAAAAACAAAAATTATGCAAATTCTATTTTTAATAATTGAATTCCTGTGAAATTTTCATATGAAAATTTCTCAAAAGAATTCAATTATCAACAATTTTAACAATAAAATTCTACAAGAATAATTAATTATTTTCGAAAATAATATTATTCTAGAAAATAATTGAATATTCGTGAAGAATTTTGTCAAAATCATTGTTAAATAATTGAATTCATTTGAAATTTTTATTTTTTGGAAAATAATTTAATGTTCGTGTAGAATTTTATCAAAATTTTTGTTTAATAATTGAAATCTTTTGGAAAATTTTATTAAAATAGTAGATCATTGAAAATCATTGAATTAGGGAAAACTTTTGAAAATAATTGAATTTCGAAGAAGAAGTTTATTATTTATGAAGATAATTGAAATTTTGAAGTGTATTTTTAAAAATTTTTGAACATAATTGAATTTTTGAGAAGAATTTTATTTCTTTTGAAAATGATTGAATTTTTACAAAAATTTATAACTTATTTTTCAAAACTCAACTGTTTTTTGTGTTTTTAACTAAAATTCTTCTATAAGATGAATTCAGAAGAATTTTAATTATTAAAATTTTTCAAAAATCTAAGTACTTTAAAATTCCAAATTAAATTTATTCAAAATTGAAATTTTATAAACTTCAAAATTTTTTATTTGAAAATTTTGAAGTTTATCTATTTATGAAAATTTTAAATACAACTCTCTTTTAAAATTGAATTAATTTTGAAATATTTAATTAAAATTATATTCATTAAATCATTCATAAGTAATAATTTTATGATAGTTCTTCAAGAATTAAGTTATTTAAAAAAAGAAATTAATGTCAGAATTAGATAAAATTAAAGATTTTGTATTAGAATTCGTGGTAATTTCATAGTTTTCGAGACAAACCAAAAAGACACAAAAATTTAGAATTTTTTTATGAATTCTAAAAATTTAATTTGTTTCTAGGACTTTTATTAAAAATCTCTGACTTTTCTCTGATTTCCCTGATTAATTCTATTTCCCCTGACTTTTTCCTGAATTCCCTGACCTGTGGTAACTCTTATATAAATTAAATTAAATTAAATTTAATTAATTAATCTTTGTTTGGTTTTATTTATTTGTGTTTTTATTTTCATTTAATTAATTTAATTTTTATAGTTTTAATTTGAAGTATTTTTTAATATTTTAAAATACTTGCAATTGCACAGTATTGTATCAGAAATTGGTAAATTAAAATTTTGTGATTTTAAAAATTTTTAAATAATTTAAGCCGCGTGTATTATATCTAATATGACGTAGGTGCATTTGTTATAGATATATATATATATATATAAAATAGGGCGCCTACAGAATGTAAAAGCTATTTAACGGATATGACACAATTAGTTTAATTATCGCGGTAATATCCATGTGTGATAAGGACTAATTTTTAAACGATAACTGCAAATTGATCGAAACACAGTTGATTAATATCCGATAAGCATTGGTTGGTGTGTTTACTTACTGCAAATTTCCATACGCCCTCGCACATTAAATCTCTTTTCCAGGAATTGCCAACTGCAAACGGTAAACCACGCCGACGACAGCGATTATTTCCAAAATTGTTTTCAATCTCCGTCATTAATTTGCCACAACTGTAAAAAATTAAACAAATATAAAAAATTAATTAAAAAGTCAAAAAAGAAATTATAAAGTTTAAAATAAATATCAAAATTTTTTTCAATTCTATATTTATTTCTTTGTTTATTTTTTTCTAATCAGCATTATCTTTGCTGGGATTCAATTATGGGTCAAATAAATAAATTATCTTATTAAAAACTCCAGAATTAAATTATAAACAAAAAAAGTAATTAAAATTTTAATTACTTTTTTTGTTTATAATTTAATTCTGGAGTTTTTAAAAAAAAAATTAAATTAATAAATTTTTTTTTTTGTTCACAAAAAAATTATAAATTCTATATAAATCTCAAATTTTTTTCTAATCTAATCAAAATTCTTTGGCTTTTTTCTAATCATTATCATATTCACAAATTAATTTTTTTTTTTGGAGCAACTAAAATCTTTAATTAAATTAAATAAAAAATGCAATAATATTATAAACTTATTTGCATGTTCCTTTTAAGGATCTTTACTAATTACTATAATTATTTGAAAAAAATAAATAAGTTCTTAGGCCCTGATTTTAAGACAAATAATATTTTTTCGTGGGTTAGATTTCTATAAGCACTGAAAAAATATTTCACTATCTATAGATTTTTTAAGTAGATAAAAATTTAATCTCAACTTTAATTATTTCGAGTTATTGAATAAAGTAGACTATTATCAATAAAATATTTACTAAAACCAAGTATAATTTTTTTTTCGATTTAAATCAAATATAAACTTTACTCAAAGCCGTAAATTCCGTATTTGAAGAAAAAAACTCACAATAATTATTATTTGTCAGCGTCACAAATATAAATATTTAATAATATAGTTACACAAATAACCGATTTGAATCAAATGAAAAATTATTTATTCGATGATATATAAACAGAAAAAAATTTATAGTTATATTTAATACACAGAAAATTACAATCAGATTAAGAATATTATTTGATCCGTTTTATTTAAAAAAGATTATTTTAAAGGGAATTATTGATAAAATGTTGACTACATCTTACGTCAATCGGTAATTTCATACATCCGAATGAGTATAAAGAACACAGGTTTAGAAATAAAAAATTTATTGCATCTAAATCTGGTCGCGAAATTTCTGGGGTTTGCAATGAAAGACAACGATATTTTAAGAATATAATTTCCACTTTTAACTAGAGAGATAAAAATTAATTTTTCAAATCAAATCGCCTGTAACAATATTTGTACTCTCTAATTCGAATTAATTCAAAATAATTTGATTTAGAGATAAATTAATATTTGATTTCGAATATTTATATTTTATTTCTATTTATTATTATAGAAGAAAAAAAGATGTAATTAGACTCAGAGCATGCTAAATTATTTATTTAGGTACTTCAATTCCAGGGCTCGGATCGTCTTTAAGACTCAAAAAAAGTGGCTTTAGTCGCATAAATTTACAACAAAACTCACGAAAAGTCGCATGAAATTTTAGAAAAAAACGACAAAAAGGAAACACGAAATTGTCAAAATTGTAAAAAAAATCACATTTCTCGACAACAGATACATTAATATCAAACAATCCGAAATAAAATTTTTAAAAATTTAATAAAATTCAAAGCAAAATTTTAAATTAGGTATTTTTAACATTTTTTTAAAAATTCTCTTTAAAATGTCAATTATTTTTATAAATAATAAAATTCTTCTTCAAAATTCAATTATTTGCATACAGAATTTTAATAAAATTCTTGTCAAAATTTCAATTATCTTTATAAATAATAAAATTCATCCTAGAAATTCAATTATTTTCAAAAGTAATAAAATTCTTCGCAGAAATTCAATTATCTTCAAAAGTAATAAAATTCTTCGCAAAAATTCAATTATTTTCACAAATTTAAAATAAAATTCTTCTTATGAATTCAATTATTTTCAAATATTTGTAATAATTCAATTATTTTCAAAAGTAATAAAATTCTTCTCTGAAATTCAATTATTTGGAAAGAATTTTAATAAAATTCTTGTCAAAATTTCAATTATCTTTATAAATAATAAAATTCATCCTAGAAATTCAATTATTTTCAAAAGTAATAAAATTCTTCGCAGAAGTTCAATTATTTTCAAGATTTTTTTTTAATTTCTCCTTAAAATTTGTATTATCTTCATCATAAAGAATAAAATTCATCCTGGAAATTTAATTATTTTCAAAAGTTCTGATAAAATTTTTTGCAAAATTCAATTATCTTGAAAAGTAAGAAAGTTCTTCACAGAAATTCAATTATTTTCACAATTTTTTTCTTTAAATTTTCTTCAAAATTTCAATTATTTTTGTAAATATCAACATTCTTCTGCAAAATTCAATTACTTACTAATGTTTTATAAATTTATTCACAATAATTCAATTATTTTCATAAAAAATGATAACATTTTTTTTTTTATAAAGTCTTATAATATAAAATAATGATTTTATCACTCGGTTATCTTTAATTATTATAAAACATGAAGACAACGATTGCTCCGAGTCGAAGACAATTTTTTTAAGTTGTTTAATTTCAACAAGGTTTGAATTTGAATCTTTTGAAGAATTTTAATTTCTATGGAAAAACAATAATTAAATATTTATTTATAAAAGAAGTTATTGATGTTTTCGAAAAATTTGTAAATAAATGTAACAGAACATTTTTTTGACTCAAACTTTTTCCTTTAAATTTAAAAAAAAAATTTAAATTTCATTCGCATTTTACTAAAAAAAATCTCGAAAAAGTCGATTAGTCGCATTTTTTCACAAAAAAGTCGAAAAAAGTTACAGAAAAGTCGAAAAAAGTCGAAAAAGTCGCACAATCCGAGCCCTGCAAATCAATTTTATTTCTGCTAAATAAAATTGTTATGCAAAACAAATGAATAATTTACTAGGTTTTGTGGCAAATATACTTTTATTTGACCTTTTATTAGAGTAAATTTTTCTTCAGTCAAAATACATTTTATTAATTTTTTCTATAAATATACCCCGGAAATAGTAAAACTTATTTTCGTCACAAAAAATTTTTTTTATTATTTATTTTTTTATATTATTATTTTTTTGATGTATATCACATTACGAGAGGGTATTGGCCTGTTAATATAGGTATATAAATAAAAAAATAATAATTAAATAAATTAAATGAAAATTTTGTTAGAAAAATTATTAATTATAAAAAATCTCGTAAGAATAATTCGATTTAAATTATCAGCATAGATAATAAATTGTGCGAAAGAAAAAAATTTATACTAAGTATTCAAAAAAAAAAAGTTTTTGTCTGTTGTTACATTGACATATTTCATTAAATGCGACTGAAAAGTTTTTCCTTTGTTTATTTTTGTTGCGCGAAGAAAAAGTTTTTCCGATTAATTATGTATACTAATACTAATAAAACTTTTTTGACAATGAAATGTACATATTAGTTACTTTTTAAATCTATATAGAAAAGAAAAAACAAATACGGGAAAATTTGTTCATTTTAATAATGACAAAAAAAATATATACTATATATTTACGATAATAGTGTAATGCAATAATGTGACGAAGATTGATATTCGAAATAAAAGTTTTTATCTTAAAAATGCTGCGCGTAGCAAAAACGAAAAAAAAAAATGATCGGTTCGTGCTGATAATAGAAATTGGAAAAAAATCAATTTCATTTTCATTGAATATACTAATCTCAAAACACTTTCTGACTTCGCATACTAATGTCATTTTTATATATTCGCAACAACTTTATTGATTTATACCTATCCAAAATAAAAATATGTCTATAAATATAAATTCGATAGAAGACATTTTTTATTTCTTTCTTTTCTAATTTTATCATTACTAATTAACAAATATTAATTTTTTTACAGAAAAAATATTGTTTTATATTATTTTTTATTTTATTTTTATTATTATTATTATTCTTTTATTATTTTTTAAATTATTTTTATTAAAGTTATAAAAATAATTATTATACATATTTATAATTTATGTTTTAATGAGAATTTTTTCAGAGTTCAACAATTTGAATTCAAATTGAGTTATAAATTATTATAATTAAAAGTTATAAATTAAAATTTTTCTAATCGCATCCGTAAAAAATGAATCTATATTTAAGTCTATATTTAAAGGTAAAAATTATTAAATAAGTTTCTTTGTGGAATTTAAATATTAAAATTTATAAAATTGAAAAAAAGTATTAATAAAAAAAAATATTGTTGATTTAAATTAAAAAAAAAAACAATTGCATGAGTTTATGTTAACCTGTAAATACATTAAGAAATCAAACAGTAGAATTACAGCGTTAATGGTCAGACGGTAAAATAAGTACAGTAGTAAAAACTAAATGAAGTCAGACGTGACACGTTATTTCCTTGGCGTAAATTTTCACGAGAGAACATTTATCAAATGAGAACTTTTTCCCCTACAATAATAATGAATAGTGAAAATTTTCACGATATTGTAATTAACATCATGAAAATAAATCTCAACATCACCATACGATAATAATAATAAAAATAATAATGATATTCTATATTTTTTAAATAAAATAATAATAAAGAATAATATGTATATTTCTAAAAATTATATAATGAGTTTGAAATTTATAAATGTAATTAGAAGAAAAAAATTTATAAAATCTAATTTTAAAATAAAATTCGCAAAAATAAGATTTTTATTTACTTTTTCTTTTTTGCAATAATTTAAATAAACAAAAGGGAGGAAAATATTTAGAACGCAATGCAATTTTTCTTGATGTTAAAACAAAAGTCGAACAATATTTATCTCTGCGTCAGAGTTGAGAGAGAAAGATTTCAATCATAATGCTTTTTTATTATTAATTGACTTCCAATATCGTTTACCTGCAGGACCTTCAATGAAATAATGATTGTTGTAAAATTAAATGAGAATAAGAAAAATCTCCTAGGATTCGATTCATTTTTCTCTCTCTCTCTCTCTCTCTCTCTCTCTCTCTCTCTCTCTCTCTCTCTCTCTCTCTCTCTCTCTCTC